CGATAATGATTATCAATGGCCGGAGGACGAGATAGCCTGTCTCCCAGACAAATTGATTTGAGACACTCTTTATTATCCGAAATAAATTTCTCTGTTGAACTAATACTTTCATTGTTCAATTAAACAATAGGATTTTAATCATATTTTCTGAGAATTGATGTAATACCCTCAATCAAGGCGTTCGGGCCCAAAATGAGACTTTTAAGGATAATCTTAGAGGTTAAATATTTCCATCTATACTTCAACGGCCATTCTCCCATCTGATCCAACAGAATATTCGTGGGAGTGGAAATCATTAGACCCAAGACCAATCGTATACATCTGTACTGGATTTTATTAAGGATATTAATTTTTTTCCCAGGACAATCTAGTAAAACTATACCGCCCCAGTCAAGGACCGACCTAATCAGTCCTTTATAAACCAATTCCAGCATCAATGGATGAGCTCCCCATTTTATACCTGCAAACCCTTTTAATAAATTAATCCTTATTATGCAGGATTTCCTGAGACTTAATATATGGAATGACCAATTCATTTTAGAATCAAAGATATATCCCAAATATTTACAGTAACGAACTAAAGGGATAATATTGTCTGATAAAGTTATATTTAGGCTATGGGTAATTATAAAATTCTGGTTTGTATTAAACCTTCTCTTTTGATCAAATAGGATCCATTTTGTCTTGTCAGTTGATATGTCCAAATTAAGTCTAGCTAGGTTGATATCCAACATTTTTAGGGCCCAATTGAGTTTAAACGAAATTTCTTTAATATTTTTATTCTTGTAAAAAATAACATCATCAGCGTAAGAGATAATGTGTATATCCTTTTCCAGATTCAAATGTATCCTAGACATGTATAAGTTAAATAACAAAGGACTCAACACGGATCCTTGCGGAACCCCCACTGATCCAATTCTTTCACCTAAGTAATGACCATTAAAATAACCATTAACTTTTTTATGAAATAATATAAATTCTATAAATTTGACATAACAGTCCGGTATACCAAGGTCTCTTATAAGGGTGTATATCAGTTGGACACAGGGCAATTGGACACAGTCCAATCACAAGTCGCTGTTCCAAGAGACCCTACAAATGTCTCTAATCACACGGTGCTGTGATTGGCTGTGCCAAATGCACCGTGTCCAAGTGCACCGCTCCCCTCTTATAATTCTAAGTAATTTTAGACTATTAACATTATCAAACGCACCTTTTATGTCAATAAATATTACTCCCACCCTACAACCCTCCTTAAACGCTTCTGCAATAAATGTCTGCAGTGTCAAGATACTTAGTGCACAAGATCTACCCCTCCTGAATCCATTTTGATATGGAAGCAGAATACAATGAGCCTCTAGCCACCATTCCAACCTGGTCTTAACGAGTCTTTCCATAATTTTAAAAATTGTGTTAGCCAACGAAATGGGCCTCGTTTTGTCCGATCCAGCTTTAGGTATGAAGACCATATAATACTCTTTCCACTTAGCAGGGAAGTTTCCAGAGAAAAACATTGCATTAAATATAGCCAGAAGGACCTCAAACATCACCTCTGGAAAATGTGATATAACTGCATAGGAGATCATATCAGGACCAGGCGCTGATTTTTTTTTTAATTTTGCTTACATTTGTGGAAAATTCTTCCTTAGAGAAGTCTTCGAGCAAAGCTTTTTTACATTCTCCATTCTTCTCGAATGATGGATGAGTCGTAATATCTTTTTCCTTTTTATTATCCTTCACAAATGAGTTATTTATGTTACCCGAGGATTTCTCATGAACTACATTATGAAATGTATCTTTAGCCGATTGAATTTTTACTTCACTAAGAGATTCAAATTTATCAATTAAAAATTTGTTGTTTTTGAAGGCTTTGACTTTATTCCACGTTTCCTTTATATCCGAGTCTTTACCTAAAGTAAAGACTTTTGTACTTATCTCTCTTTGTACTTATCTCTCTTGATTTTTTTAAGCCTTTTTTTAACTGATTTACATATCTCATTGTATTTGTTAATGTTATCGATATTAGGTCTTTTCTTAAACTCATGAAACGCATCCACCTTCTCTTTGTGTATAGCAGCGCATTTTTCGTCCCACCATGGTGTGGGAGGCTTCCTTTTAAGAGATTTCCTGTTGCTAACCTTAGTTCCAGATTGAATAAGCGACATATCAATCTTTGACTGAAGAGTCGAGAGCAGGATTGGGTGATCCCCTCAACTCATTTAAATTTGGAAATTCTTTGGAAATTGCGTCATCAAGATGCTTTGTGAATTCATCCCAGACAACTCTAGAAACAATGTAGTGCGGTTTACAGTTAATTTTAGCTGGTACTTTGTTGTTAAATGTTATAGTAATTGGTGAATGATCGTTACCAAAACTACAACCACTTATTTCCCAATTAGCATATGCTAGAGGAGCGGAAACAATAGAGATATCTAAAGAGGTGTATATTAGTTGGACACGGGGCAATTGGACACAGTCCAATCACAAGTCGCTGTTCCAAGGGACCCTACCAATGTCTCTAATCACACGGTGCTGTGATTGGCTGTGTCCAAATGCACCGTGTCCAAGTGCACCGCTCCCTATCTAAAACACTAGATTAATTAATCATACTAATAATTTATAATAAATGTTTCAAAGAGTTACTTATGATTTTAGTCTAGTGTAACATTTTTAATATTTAAAAAATATTACTGTTTTATACATAATAACATTTTATTAGTATTGAAATGAGAATAAGTATGAATACATATGTTTTAAGACGGTCTTGAAATAAGATTCGACTATGAATACCGGCCATAGGTCTGTAATTCGGCGTAAAGTTACGCAATAAAATAGGACTATTTGATTGGCTTAACTTGGACGACGCGACGTGTGACGCGCTAAATGGGAACGCACCCATAGCGTGTTTGACTGGCCCTAATGGCTCCTGCACACAGGACGCGGTAATGCTTGCCGCGCGACGGAACTTCGCGCGACAGCCAATCAATATGCTGCTTTCCGTAATAACCTTCTAGCTTTTACGGAAAACAACATATTGATTGGCTGTCGCGCGGAATTCCGCCGCGCGGCAAGCATTACCGCGTCCTGTGTGCAGGAGTCATAAGAATGTGAATTCGTGAATTATAGCGTGTTTGATTAGCCCTGGGTTAATCGCTCCGAGAATGATTATTGACGTCATAAGTTTCTACTAGCTATATAAGTACTTATAAGCCAATCATAAAGCTTATAAGTACTTATAAGCTTTATGATTGGCTAGTAGAGATTTATGACGTCATTAATCGCTCTCGGAGCGATTAACTCAGGGCTAGTCAAACACGCTATAATTCACGAATTCACATTCTTAGGGTCTCTTCAAAAGGATGTGTATCTCTTGTTTTCTTACTGGTTGTAATAAAATCCAGGCCTATTCTCCCTATTCTCTAACTTTCTAACGACAACGTCGTTATCGTTACGTAGCGACAATCGTCGCTTGCGCTGGGTGTATATCAGTTGGACACGGGGCAATTGGACACAGTCCAATCACAAGTCGCTGTTCCAAGGAACCCTACAAATGTCTCTAATCACACGGTGCTGTGATTGGCTGTGTCCAAATGCACCGTGTCCAAGTGCACCGCTCCCGCTTGCGCTAACGACATTGTAACGAAAATGCTATTCTGTAACTCAAGCTAGCGATACCGTATCGATACAAAATGTGATACCGACGTCGTTACCGAAACGAGTATATTCAGTTCAATATAACTTCACTGCTGCAGTGTTCAGCCAATCAAATCTTTTTTCCTTGTGTATCTTTTTCAGTGAGTTTAGGAACAATAAATACAAATATTGGCTGTGTCAACAATTATATGTGACAGTTAACCAAAATATGTCAAAATAAGTATATGTAAAATAAATAATACGCAAAAAGTTTAAATCAAACATTAATTTGGCATCAACTATATAAGCTTATATTAAAATCGTAATTTGTCATCAAAGTATATCGACATAACTTCCCAGACAGCACAATGTCTAAAAAGTGGGACATAAGACGTCTTTAAGACGTTTTTAAGTTGTCTTTAAAACAAGTTTATAAAGTATTGTCTTAAAGATGTCTTAAAGTTGCCTTAAAGACGTCTTATGACTCGATTTTGGACATTTGTGCCGTCTGGGTTAATAAAACGTGATACACAGTATCACAATGAAAAAATGTAATTGTATATATAATATTAAACATTACTTCGAAATATACATAACATTTTTTTAAATATAATGTTTGTAGATCATGTTTTAAATTATGTTCATACATGTGTTAGCAAAATACTTATTAAACATGTGGACCAATACAGTTAATATCAAATAGATGTCATATTTGTGTGTGTGTGTGTGTGTGTATATAATAACTGTATGTTTAATCAATATATAAAAGATTGAAAAAATATGACTATATTAATACATTATTAATATTTTTTAATATTTTTAATATTTTTGTAGACATGGCGAGATCATAAATCAAAGGTATCTGAAAAGATACAATAATTAAGGAAAGAAAGAGCCAGTAGTTGGTAACTGTAGAGCTGACGTACAAATGTAGAGCCACATTGTCCTACTATTTGGAGCATTGTTATACCTAGTTTTCGTTATTGCTTATCGAGGGGTCCCATACTCCTCGATATCTTAACGACAAAATTCGATATTTTATCGACACTTTTAACGATATTTATCGTTAAAAAAATTACAGAATACCATTTTTCGTTACAATGTCGTTAAATCTCCGTAATAACACCCTAGGCTAGTGATATTGTCGTTAAGAAGTTAGAGATTAGGCCTAGAGGGCTGCGTTCAGAAACCTTACTCGGTGAGTAGAGTAATTTAATTAGCCAATCAGGGCAAAAAGAACTAAGATTTATTTATCATGATTGGTTTATTAAAGTAACTCTATCCATCGAGTTGGATTAGCCCAGGGGGTCGATCATGTATCTTTTCACCTAGGGCTGCGTTCAGATTCCACACCCGGGTGTATTCTATTACTAGAAGTGCTATAGTATATATAACATATACTATAGTGTTTCTAGTAATAGAGTGCACCCGGATGAAGAATCTGAACGCACCCTAGGATGAATTCGTGAAAAAGTGAAAATTTTCACGTGAAGCAAAAAAGTGAAAAAATAAAAACTTTCATATGAATTAATATTTCCCCTAAAAAGTAATATCCATATTCATAATAAGTTAATCAATTACGATGGCTGCTGCATGGTGGATAATTAATGAGGAACAAAACGAAAGAAACGGGTATTTACGTATTATGCGTAAAATTTTAAGAAATACTCAAGATCCTTTTGATATCCTAGAAAAACAATTTCAGGAATTATATAGGTTAATAATAATTATTATTATATTATTGTAATTAATTTTATTATTTTACTATTTGTGTATTACATTAATTCTAAAAAAATAATATATAACATGAAGAAATATTATAAGCAAACATGAGAATATTTATAATCTATTATTTTACTCACTTTAATGTAATTATGTTCTATGCAAATGCGCTGGATGGAGTTGATACTGTTATAATCGCGAATAGTATCAGCGCTTTCGAAACATTTCTCGGGGAATTGTTTCGATTGCGCCACAACAAGGAAGCGGATGTGCAAGTGCGGCGATAAGCACCACCTTGCACATTCCGCATTTAGGACCTCAATTCCAAACGCATTGCACCATTACCAAATATGGTAATGTTCTTGTGCCAGGCACCCCCTCCGAAAAGCCTAAAACAATATTATAAAAGAGCGGAGAAGACCGCCCGCGTTTAGACTTAACACCTCGGTCTCTCGCCGCGACATACGCGACCAACGCGCGGTTCGCACAAGAATAATAAGTACGGGAGTAGTAATTAAAACACATACAAGTGTACTATTCAAATAAACCTTTTTATAATTAAGACTACAAGATCGTGGTCAAAATCTTTAACTACATTTTACCCACCGCCATACACCCTGCCGCGCCCGCATCACCGATCTCGAACTCTTTTTCGTGTCCTGGCAACACGGGCACGACAATTTGGTGGCAGCAGTGGGATCGGTGTCTGCCGGGTCAGGAACTACCTGTGAACAGAAAGTGAATTACGGGTAAGAAAAGGGTGATGTAAGTGACGAAGAAAGAAAAAACTCAACAGAGAAATCATCGGAGCTAACTAGTGGACGTCTACTGACAAAAACGCTACCGGGTACCTTAAAAAAGAGCGAGAAGCTACAAGACCGAGAAGAAACAACTACTCCATAGATACATTAGACGACAAGTCTACAAAAAAAAGAGAGAAGAAAAAATTGGGGAGAGCTAAAAAAGTCATTGAGAGAACAACACACCCACGCCCTCCGAAACAACACACTGGGACCATAAGGCTAACGGAGACGGCAGAGGACAGCGGTAATCGGTGAAAGACGAGCAGCAGCGTAATCAAGGCGACCGTCGGAGCTACGGCCTACGATACTACGTTGTCAGCGACACCGGAGCTTACGGCGAATGCACCAGCGGCGACCTCGACCTGCCCAACGCCACTGACCCAGTAACGAGCGACGACTTGCCGACTCAACCAAAACACGATGAGCTACAGAAGAGCCGTGACAACGTTATTGTAAGTCGAGAAACTATTGTAATCTAAGCGATTAAGTTTATGCGAGCGAACACGTAAAGGCGTGAATGTCGAGCGAAAGCGGTACTCCTGGCCGACCTATATTAAATCAATCGTGGCTACACAGCGTACCAGCGCGATTAACTATCGAACATCTATCAAATTCCAACGAGACAGTTGCCGAAGTTTTAGATGACGTGCGTGAAACATTAGAGCTTGTGCGTCGTGTATTAGATTATTCGGATGAAACCGAACGCGAATCTCCTGAGCACGTAATCGCCGAACGTGAATTCCCTTTCGGAGAAATAGACCATAGCATATTACCGGACGTGCAAGTTACAAACGACACCCGACGTACAAGACGCCGCGCATATTTACCCTCACACAGTACCATTAGCGACGTCTCGCAAAGAGGAGATTTCTCCTTAATTTCTTACGATAGTAGTGTATTCGATCCATTTGACGAAATGGCCACCGGGCAACGCGACGAAACCCTACACGCGGTGGAGAACGGAAGAGATCAGGAAATCTCTCGTCTTCGCGGGTCTCTACTACGAGAAGAGCCTTTGAGCGACGTAAACGATCCTCAACCAGGACTTAGTAGAATTCGACGCGACGTTGACTTATATAATAATGC